CTCCTTGCATTCCCCAGGCAGCGTGATCCTGTATAAACCATTTCCATTTCATTATGGAACTCTTCTGGGTACTGCCATCCCCATTAGAGGTTTCTCTGACGTCACCCAAGACATCATGGGAATTTCAGATTTCAAGATTATTTCATGTCCTTTAGTCATAGGGATAGATTCTATTAGTGTCCAATAGCAAGCTAATGGGAATAGCAAGCTTGCCTCTTCAGCAGAAATTCTCTAATCCAAAGTCCCAGTAGTCGTCACTGGGAGGTGCTCCCAGGCACTTGCCATAAGCCCCAGTCTACACCTCACATGGAGCTATCACACGAAGAATTTGCCCTTACCAGCTCTTCAGCTTCTGTTCTACGCTGTGAGGGCTCAGGCAATCTTACTGGTTCCCATTTAGCATGTCCAATTAATATTTCTTGAAGGGTGGATTTAGATGCCTTCTGTTTTACTATACGAGGTAGGAGAAACATTCCCTAGTCAGACAATGTCCACCCCGTAACGCAATCAAGTGAAAGAGACACACCGCTTCCCATGAAGCCTGTTGAAACGTAACTGTTCTCCTCCAAACTTTCACCTTAATTCAATCAACTCTTACTTTCTTAATTTAGCCTCCATTAGGACTTTATTAACGAGTTTTGGGTTTACAACACTAGGTAGGGGAAGTGTTCCCCAGCCAGACATGATATCCATTCCCATCAAACAGGTAAAGGAGACACAGTTTTTTACATAAAGCCTGTTTAAATATTCCAACATTCATAATCCCATCAATTCTTACCTTTTTATTTTCTCTCAATCTAATTGTAGCCCATGTCACGGCTTCACCACTGGATTTTGGTACCAGAGTTCATGGGGCTCCCATATCAAGGAGTCCTGGAAATTTCTCTTTTCCATCCCCTGATCATTTTACCCACTCTTGTGCAAAAGACTTTGAGTCCCCAGTGAGGGGTCGAGCCAAGGGACCCTGAACCTTTTGTCAGTCTTCATCTTGATCAACCTGCCCAACCATCACTCAAAGCAATTACAGGTCAGATTTCCCATTATAATCTTTAACTCTTCGCTTTTAAAATTTCTCCAAACTATGGTAAATAGAGCAGACTTCTTTGGGCCTCTTTGCTGTTGGGGGCTAAGTAGGGTGTCTTTTTGGCCTGCCCAACCTTTGGTAGTACTATATTAAAACGTTTGTTTGAATCCCATCAATGTCCATTTTTTTAATCCCCTTTCTTAGTAACATCCAGGTCATGGGTGTTCACGCGGTGGCCAGGGCCGGGGTAGATGGGGTGGCAGCATCGGCTCCTGCTCCAGGAGACTCAGTGGCATGGGTCCTGGGCAGCTCCATCAGCTGGGATCAGCACAGGCAAAGACTGAGGGAGTCCTCAGTGGCAAAGCTGCAAGTGTCCCTGACAGCCATGAGGGCTGCTTGGGTCCTCGGTAGTGAAAGCTGCTGGGGTCTTTCTGCTCTCCTTTTCTCCCAAAGGGGGAGGTCAGAGCCAAGGCGATCCCTCTCAGCAGTAAGTTATGCGGGTCTGGGGGATGGGGTGACATAAGTGTGGGTTCTAACCGCCTCGGGAGTTTCTCAGATGTAATCTGAAACCGGCCGCCTACTCAGAGGGCAGGGAGAGACCAAAGAAAGAGGCAGACCACACCAGATTGGTAGGCGGTGGGTTTAATAAGCAAAGGAACTTAGTTAGGAGGCTTGTCTTGGGCAGCTGCAAGACAAGTAGATCTTTGCGCCCACCTGCCAGAATCTTAAAAGTTTATATAGAGGCCTGAACTGGGTTCAGTCAGGTACCCAGTCCAGAGAGGCTCCACACCACATTTCTATCCAAGGCTGTACCATTGGAGCGGCTTCTGGGAGTGGGAAGGCAAGTGGAACGTACATTCCAAGGACCGGGGAGTGGTGTGGAGCTTCCGATTGCCCAGGTCCAGCTTGAGGGTCAACCAGCGGTCATGTCCTCTCCATGACCTCCTCCAACACTCCACCCCTCGTGGCCGGCTCTTACAACCTCACACGCCCCCCTCTTCCGGAATGTGCCCTGAGCATCAGCAGGGGGCCTCACTGGCATGCAGGTGGCTCGTTTGGTGGTTATCTGGCTGCGTTGGACGATAACTGTCTGCAAGTGGCAAAAGACTTAAAAATGGTCATGATTAGGGGCCAGCCTGGTGGTGTAGTGGTTGGGTCTGCTTTGGTGGCCCACGGTTCACAGTTCGGATCCCGGGCGGGGGCTTACACAACACTCATCAAGCGATGCTGTGGCAGCGTCCCCCATACAAAATGGAGGAAGATTGGCACAGATGTCAGCTTAGCAACAATCTTCCTCAAGCAAAAAGAGGATGATAGGCAACAGGCGTTAGCTCAGGGCCAACCCACCTCACCCCAAAAAAAAGTCATGATTAAAGATATGGTGAGATTTTATTATATAACGCAACTGACAAGGGAATTTGGTTATTTCCGTGACATACATTTTAAAATCATAACTGATAAACATGATACCAGAAGATGCCAGATTTTTAGGAATTTCAAACAAACATACCTTTTAAAAAGTTTAACATCACTTCTTATTTGACAGTGCTTCCTATGAAATTTAACATATACGAAAAGTTACATAGTTATAAAACACTTCGCTTTTTTACTGGAGAAGACTCAGTTTTCTTAAGTAATCAAAGACCTGATAAAGACAAAGCACGAAATCTTTGTTTTCTAGGCAGATTACATTGAAGGTAAAGAAAAACCTTTGTTTACAATTTCTTATTAAGAGCAGACCAATAATCTAAGAAAACTTTCCCCTTTTAACAGAGAGAAAACCAAATTCTAATTTTGCACCAGTGTATTTTGATAATAAAATTCTCCTTTTTTTCTTTTTAACTTAAATAAATCCCTTCCAATCTTAGTCAGCTTGGCCATACATCAAATTCCTTTCTCAAAATTCCTTTTCCACAAACCTTCTACAACTTTCTATGTTCATTCAGGTTCTGTCCTGTCTTTTTTCTTTCTTATTCTGGAACAATTATTTTACTTTAGGACAAAATTACTTTCTTTATTTCTGTACAAAAAAAAAAAAAAACATCCTTCATATCTTTTCTTATCCAAAAAAAAAAAAATACACATTCTATTTTTCTTACCTACTTTCATATACAGTCATTTTCTGTCACTCTTATTATTTCTAATAGTTTTGTAAAAAAATCTTAGTTCTTTTACAAATCAATTTTGGCAAAAGAACTTCCACAGCAGTCTCTATATGTTTAAAAAGCTTCTTTTCTCCCTTTTTTCCTCCAGTCTCTGTCGGCAGTGTTTACATTTCAAAGACATGATAAGATTCATACCTTCAAGGGACAGAGAAAGAATGTAAGTTTTCTCCTAGGTGTTTTGGGGTAATTGCTATTTAAAATTTTCCTTTGAATTAGGGGTCAGACAGCATGGGCGTTTCGTCCTTTTCTTCATCAATCACAATATCCTCCTTCATTTTCATCAGAGATTTTACCTCTTTGTGTCCTAATCAGGCTTTGTCACAAGCGCCTGGATCTTCACCTGTGGCAGCTTGCGTACTCCTAGCTTTGCAAAACGGCATGCTAATGTCTCTAACTTCCTATCCAGCTCTCCCACCTTGTCTGCCAGCCCCAAAGCTAGCAGAGCAGCGGACACTGCGCGTCCTTCTCTAATCTCAGCTCTACTTCCAGCTTTCTAACTCGAGTATCAGTCTCCAGTTGGGCATTGGTGTCCGGCCAAACTGCCCACAGTAGAGGCCAACCCACTTTGGCAACCATTCGTGTCTCTTCTTTGCCATGGTGCGCTATGCACACTTTCTCAAACAAATGCATTAAAGCAGCCAGCATTTTCCAGGCATCCCCATACTCCTGCAGCTGTCCACAAGGACCACCCCTCCTCACACAGAGGTTGACGGCCAACTCGGGATTTCCTCCATGGGTGCCTCTTTCCCAAAGCCTATTTCTTCAGTCTCTGCCTGGCTTGCCAGATGTTGCAACCTCCTCAGGAGTTTCCCAGGTGTAATCTGAAACTGGACCGTGTGCTTGGAGGTCAGGGAGAGAGCAAAGAAAGAGGCAGAGCTCTCCAGATTGGAGGTGGCAGGTTTAATAAGCAAGGGGATTTACTTATGAGGCTTATCTTGGGAGGCTGCAAGATGAGTTGATCTCTGCAGCCACCCACCAGAATCTTAAAAGTTTATATAGAGGTTTTAAGTGGATTCAGTCAGGTGCCCAGTCCAGATAGGCTCAACACCACAGTTCTATTTCAAGGCTGTACCCTTGGAGCAGCTTCCGGGAGTGGGGGAGGCAAGTGGAAAGCACATTTCAAGGACGGGGGCGTGGTGGGGAGCCTCCAATTGTCCAGGTCCAGCTCGCAGGTCAACTGGCAGTCATGTCTTCTTGATGACCTCCTCCAACAGGAGGTAAAATGCTTCCTACAATTTTCTTGTGGCCATCCTTGGTTTTTGTGCTCCACTGGATGGTTGCATCTTCTTAATTGTTCTCCAGAGCCCTCTCAGAGTTATTTGCATCAGTGGGTAGTTGTTAAATCATTGTTTTTATGGAGGTAACATTGCTAGGACCTCCTAGTCCACCATCTTGGCTAATGTCACTCTCCTAAGTTTTGTTTTTTTAAGAGATAAAGATGGTCCATGGGGAACAGGAATTTTTACACAGTATGGACTTTAGTTGGGGTGCTTTCATGGAACCAAGCTCAACTGGGACAACCTAGGACACAAGGAAAACTAGCTGGTTTCCCCTATTTCTCCAAAGGCACCCAATGAATGTCCTTGGTACTGAAATCTGGTTGAGGAGGCCCTCAGAGGACAGAATCTGCAGGTAATGCTGAAAGGTAGAGGGATTTCTTTATTCTTATAGAAGAATATACAATTCCCGGGCTGTGATCCGTTTAGACTAGAGCTGACCCATTAAAGGTGTTTAGAAATGTCTCTCAGACCTTTCTCAGGAGCTGTGGGTGTGTCACCAGTCACACTGGAGATCAGGGCCAACCATACCCCTCAATTGGGGCACTTTGGGAAGAGGTACCAATCTAGACTACTGGGATCATCATCCCCAGGTAAAGTGTACAGTCGTATAAATTCATCCATGTCATAGGGAACAGAGGCCCAGGGAGGATCAGAGAGCCCCAGACATATCTGTTGGAGATCATGAGACTGAGAATCCCATGAATTCCACACAGAAGCACCAGCCCCTCCAGGTTGCTGGATTCCAGAAGGCTTAGGTGGTTCATGCTCACAGTCATCGGAAATGCTGGGACTCGTGGGATCAGTGTTTGCAGAGGTTACGGGTAAGAGGGTCTCCTGCTCCTTCACTGAGGTGGTCTGGTTTGGCGCTTCTGGTGATGGACTTGGTCGAGTTTGTTGCTGCTGCTTCCTCCTTTTGACACGCTGGTTCTTGAACCAAGTCTGGGGAGAGAGGAGGTGAGCAGGTTAATAAAGGGAGGTGGGTCCACAGGGGAATCCTCATGTTCCTCAGGAATTAGGTTGTTTGGGTGTGAGAAAGCTAGTCTTGCATACCTTCTTTTTTTATCTGAACATGGGAAGTTCTTTCTATCCTCCCTGTCCTGGGTTCCAGAGAGGGGGTAGTGTAGGACTGTGCTAGCAATAGGAAGAAAAGGACAGAGCACTCAAACCCTAGGTCAGGAGATATTAAGGAAAAGGAGTCCTGTCTTGGTGGATGCTCTGGGTTTTCAGAGAAAGGATTCTGAAGTCTGAGAATGGAGTGGCAGTCTAACTAGGGTGCCTTCAGGATTCATCCAGGGGTTCTTATGCCCTGAACTCTGTGTAAACTTAGTTGCAAGGCATCAAGAAGGTTGTCAATGTCCTGATTAAGGAGAACCTAGAAATAAACACGAACAGACCAAGTGGGAGTATCTGAGATCCAGCCCCAACGGGCCCTGTGTAGCATTGGGGGTCTGGAGTCAGAAAGGCCCAATTCTGGGTTCAGATTCTAGCTCACTTGTTTATAATCCTTGGAAGACAATTCCTCTCTGTGAGCCTTAGTGTTCCTCAATAAAATGGGCGGTCAGGACAATAAAAACATAAAATGCTGAACATCTGTCCCGGCACATAGCAAGTGTTCAATAAATAGAAATTATCTGATAATTAAATGTGTGTGTGAAGCTCTGGGTGAGATGTGCTATCAAAAGACCCAGCCAGGGACACACCTTTATCACTGACTCTTCAAGGTGGATCATTGAAGTAAGTTCCATTATAGTGGCCCAGTCAGGGTACATGGTCTCTTCAAACACATCTTTAAGAGCTCTGAGCTGCTCCGGAGTAAAGGCTGTGCGACACCGGCGAGCAGATCTTGGTGTTTCTGCAGAGGGAATAGACAAAAGGCTTTCATAAAAAATATATCCAAAGGTAGGCTTCTTACCTGAGCCTGATCTAGGAACCAAGAGCTTGGTCTAAAAAGTTGACTTGTGGAGCCCACTCCTCACCACCTTGCTGGGGTTGTTCTGCACCCCCAGAAAATTAGCACCAACTTCCACTGAATAGGACACACACTTTAAGCCATAAATGAAGAAAGCTTTCTGGTGGGCTCACTCCATAGCCTCTGTAAGATATCTATCAACCTGTGCATGACTTCGGGCATTATCTTGTCTTCCTAGCAACCTGGAGACGTCTTTCTGTTTTTCTGAAATTCAGTTTCCCCCACTGGAAAATGGTTCAAGCCTGGTTTAAAGGCAAGTAACTGTCCACTTGCTCTAGAGGAATATACTGGAAACTCACAGCCTGGGAAAATGAACCAAAGTAGTGCGAGAAAAGATGTCTGTCCTGATTGGGATAGCGTAGGATAGTGGCATGAGATCGACATTGGGTTCCTTCGAGTTCCTATGGTTCATAGAGTATTTGAGACCCTGTTATCCTAATCTGTTATAGACGCAGGGGCACTGCTGTCTACACTGGTTGGCCTGTGAGTCCTGAAGCTGTTGATTTGGCCTTTTATTAACTGGACCAGTGAAGAGCAAGTATGAAGCTTAGTGACCTGAGAATGAATGTTGATTCTCCCATTTATTAGCCCCATCCATTTGGGAGAATCACTACACTTGGATTCTTTGCCTCCATTTCTCTATCAGTAAAATGGCCCCACAGAGTTCACTTGCTTTACGGAAGATGAGTCTGTTACAGGCTTGGTGCATGATAGGTGCAGAGCAGGAGTTTTTACTATTGTTTAAAATGTAAATAAAACCGTGTCATTGAGTAATACCTGATCCATTTTATACCCAAGAGACTATTTATGTAGGAGGTCTGCATTCCTCATGCCAACACAAGCCAAAAAAGCCAGCTTACTGACTAATCACCCCACTGTGAAGACAGGAGGTCAAACGCACAGATTACTCTTAGCTTTTTGGCATCTGGTTAAACACAAAGAGGGAAAAAAATTGTAGGACATTGGAGGAAGTCCTCAAACAGGAGGGGGACAGAGAGAGACAGAGAGAGAGAGAAACAGAAAAAGATGGAGGACGAGGAGAAACAGCCGCAAATTAATGAACAGACATTTTTTCCCTAAGAAAAGGAATAGAGGGGCCGGCCCCGTGGCGCAGCGGTTAAGTTGCAGAGCTCCAATGTGGTGGCCTGCGGTTCGCAAGTTCGGATCCCAGCCGTGGACCTGTGCACTTCTTATCAAGCCATGCTGTGCCAGCGTCCCATATAAAGTGGAGGAAGATGGGCACAGATGGTAGCCCAGGGCCAGTCTTCCTCAGCAAAAAGAGGAGGATTGGCATGGATGTTAGCTCAGGGCTTATTTTCCTCAAAAAAAGAAAGAAAGAATGAAAAGGAATAGAAAAAAATTTCGAAACATTAAAATCAATATTCTCAGATAAATAAGAAAAGACATTGTACTTATCCACAAAGAATGTTTTGAAAATAAAGGAAATCAGATTGGACAAGTGTTCTTGGACATTGATAGCTAAAAATAAGCCTTTAAACAGCAGAAGATTGGGAAGAGAAAGCTAAGGAAATATTCCAGAAAGTAGAATAAAATAGATAAAGCGTGGACAAAAGGAGTGAAAAGACAGGAAAAGAAAGATCTGATCAAGGATGTCTAATATTTGACTAAGAAACATCAGCAATATTTATTTGACTAAAAAGTATGTCTTTGACTAAAAAAAAAAATTTGCAGAGAATATTTTGAAAGTATTCTGAAAGAAATAATTTACTATTTCAGAAATGAAATACAACAGCCTCCAGGTTGAGGCTATTCAGTGACGAGCACAATAAATGAATAAAAGGCCGATTGTTGCAAAATACCAGGATACCAGGAATGTAGGTAATCCTAAATGCTTCTAAGGGAAAATAAAATTTCCATACAAAGAAATTAGAATTAGAATTCCATTGGTCTGCGGAGAAGCAACACTGAATATTAAAAGACAATGAATCGAGGACTATAACATTCTTAAGGAAACTATTTTCAACCTAGAATTCTCTGTGCAGTCAAATTTATCCTCCCACGTGAGATCAGGATAAAGGCAGTTTCAGATACTTGTGGACTCAGCCGACTTACCTCCCATGCACCCTTTCTTAAGGAACCACCTGACTATGTAGCTCAACCCGACAAAATAAAGAAGGGGGACATTTGTGTGGGAGAAAAGGGGATCCACACAAGAAAGCGACACAGGCAAGTCCCAGGTTGACGCCTACACGCCAGGCCTAGAAAGCAAGCAGGGCCGATTCCAGGAGGAAGGCGGAAGGGCCATATGGGAGACAATCAGGAAAATGGATTCAACTGACTACCTGATGGGTCGGGGTATTTGCAAAAAAATACTGACTATGCCATACGCCGAACTGATAAATCATGCAGTTGAAAATTTAGAAAGATGCATCTTAAGCAGATGAGAAAAAAAGGAAACTATTAACACCTCTAATTATGATGTTTATGTTACGTAAATCATTCTGGTATGGACTAACTCTGCAGTGAACAATATTTACATAAACCTAATTAAAATAAATTGGTATTGACTTAATAAAATTATTAATACTAAATTATTTTAGTTAATGTTAATTAAACATTAAATTATTAATATTAATCTGTATCGGTAAGTTGTGTAGAGGCAACTAAAGAGGGATGTGGCTGTGAGTCTAAAGTCATCATCTACCAAACTGAGAGGTCAATATATAAAATTGATGAATTAATTAATATTTTCATGAGTACAGTATTAAACAATATGGAACATGTGTCATAAGAGCCTGTTACAAGTTCTGATAAGTGGGTGTGTTGAGGGACAATACTGTTTTTTCTATTATTAAAATAAAATCACTAAAAAACAATTTAAAAATAAAAGATGAATAAAATCATATTCATGTCCCTAGACACAAATACACTTCTAAACTAGGCTTTTCAAATACAATAATAAAATGAGAATACTGATAAATATCAAAACATCAACATTTAAAATATTGGGACAATAAAACTTACAAGTAAATTGAAAAACACAGCCACAGACTGGGAGAACATATTTGCAGCAATATAAGAGAGAAATTATTAGTGTCTAGAATACAACAAAAATGTTCTCCTCAGCCTCTAGAAAAAAAAATACTAGAAAAATGGGAAAGGAGAGAAGTGGGAAATTAGCATAAGAGAAAAGTAGAATGGACCTTATAATAGGGTGAAGAGTCTCAATTTCACTGGTTAATAAAGAAATGGAAATTGGATCAAATATCAAGTACTATTTTATATTCACTGTTAAGAACCCGACAACAGGCCAAAGGTGGAGTCACTTACGTAAGCCCCACGTCACCGAACCAAGACTTAATTACAGTTTTGGCTCTCCCAGAAATGGAATCTTAAACCAATCAATCAGGAATTGCTTGACTGGCACCAGTTAGGTAACTGTCTGTTAGACCCCTACCGTCCCCTGAGGGAAAGTAACCTCGCAATGACCAACCCGCTTTTGTGTGTGTGTGTGTGTGTGTGTGTGTGAGGAAGATCAGCCCTGAGCAAACTAACATCTGATGCCAATCCTCCTCTTTCTTCTGAAGAAGCTTGGCCCTGAGCTAACATCCGTGCCCATCCTCCTCCACATTATATGGGACGCCGCCACAGCATGGCTCGACAAGCAGTGCGTTGGTGTGCGCCCCGGATCTGAACCGTCGAACCCCGGGCCGCCACAGCGGAGCGAGAGCACTTAACCGCTTGAGCCACCAGGCCGGCCCCCAACCCACTTTTTTGTCTCTTGTTCCTGTTCCCTTCTACCTATTAGTCTTTCATTTTGTACAGCTCCTTGGAGCTCCTTTCTCTCTGCTAGATTGGATGCTGCCCGATTCATGAATTGTTGAAAAAAAACAATAAGATCTTTAAACTTGACTCAGTTGAATTTTGTTTTTGAATGCCTCCAAACGGTGGATGTTTAAAAAGTATGACAGTACCAGGTGTTACAAAGGTCGTGGAGAAACAAAAACTCACGCTACTGGTAGGAGTCCAGTTACAAACTATTGTTCCAATGCTCCCTGTTGGTATCACCCAGTGGTTCCCCAAACTGACAACGTGGTGTTGGCAAAGCCCAGGGGCTACCCCAACGTCTCACCCTCTCACCTTGGTTTATCCACAACCAACCACTCAACCTCCAGCATTTTAAGCATATGCTGCCTTTGCCCGAGCTCACCTGCCATAATAATCCTTTAGAAGTACGATGATTCAATCAGATGTGTGTTTTCTTAGCTCCCGAGTTCAGTCTATATGTCGGCTGGCTTTAAGGGTCTCACATTTAAGCAAAATGTTGATGTAATCAAGCCCCCTTCCTGTCCCTCCCTAAGGTCACATCCTCCAATCATCCACTCAACACGTGCTTATTGAGAACCTGTTCTACCCATGGTGCTGTGCGAGGGACTGGGAATAAAACTGCGATTCAAGACTTAATCCCTCTTTTCCTCCCCAAGTGGAAGAAAACAACTGGAAGTCCAGCAACAGACAATGGATTAAAATATTTGAAAATTTCACTCAGGACTGTTAAAAAAGAGACAACAGGCCCAAAATATAGTCACTTATGCTAAGCCCACATCACCAAACCAAGACTTAATACTCAGCTTAATTACAGTTCCAACCTCTCCCAGGAATAGAACCTTAACCCAGTCAATCTGGAATTTCTTGGTCAGCATTGGTGAGGTGACCTGCCTGATAGACCCCTCCCCTGCCGGCCCCTGAAGAAAGGTGACCTGGCTGAAAACTATCCGCTCTTTGCTAGTGTAACTTTTTGTCCCCCTAGTAAGATCTTTAAAATTTACTTAGTTGAAT